GCACCTTTGCGAATTGTAACAGAGCCAACTACTCGAGGCAAGGGTTCCGTAGAGCAGATGTCTTCCCTCCCCAACCACCAAGTGCCCTGAGCCGAGCAGCCTTAAAACCTGGAGATGCGATAAAGGAGGCTGCATATAATGGATCCAATTCAACGTACTGGAAGTGATGCAACAATACAGCCCCACATGAATTCCCCATTAGGTATCTTTTGTTCCATGCAGTATGCAGAATGGACACGCTGTGGTGTGCTCACATGTAGGCCACTTGTGCTTGTTTCCAAATGATTCAAAGTCGTAAACTCTTGGCAACCCGGAAAAAGCGTCATATACCAGCTACGGTGCCACATTTTTGCGTGTTTGCCGTGGCACATGTTCTCAAAGCCCGAACAGGTAAGTACGAGGCTTCTTCAGGCGCAGTGGATGGCTCCACAGGGAGCAACCCTCTGTAGCCAACAAAATATGTGAACATTTATGTACTCCCAGTAGGGCATGCGGCTAGCGAAGGAATTAATAGAAGCTCTGTCCATCTCCGGAGGAGCTTGCTTAACTGGATTGCCACGTACAATAAGGCATTGGTCCCCGTGAAGGGCGAGCTCGAAAACCACAAAGCGGATGGTCATGATTAACTCGCTGTTTTATGTTTCACCAAGAGAAATGTAAGCGTGTGATCAGCCTTGTTCGTCGTGTGTGGGGACCGACCGCCGTGAGAGACAACAGTAAAAGTAGTAATTAAAATCCAGGAAAGCCTGACCTTGTGAGTATATGTGCCCTCCTCCCACTGTGCATCCGAGACGAAGCGGCAAAGACCCTTAGGATTGTTGAGGGGAGGAGGGTTCTGGCGACGATCTGCTGCAGTCTTTGCTGCATGTGGCATACTGTGGCTAAAGTTGGTGCATGCCGCTCTGTTCGGCGCGTCGACGTCCACTGAGGGCCATTGAAGCAGTTAACAGTTACGACCGGAGTTCACCCATGCATCGAAATTTGTCTCAACTCTGGCTTCATATGGGGCTGCTTTGTAGGCGGAGTGGTAGCAAGTAGTTTTCCAACTCGTGCCAGGCTGCCGCCCCTCCAAGCATGCCCCAAACCGTTTGCCACAGTGTTCACGATAACAGGAGTGTAGAAAACAGGGTATGAACTGTTTGGTGGTAGCTCTATTCTGAGTGTTTTGACTCTACCGCGGTTCAGGGCAACCATCTGCTAATGTCGAGAAGCTGCAGCATCCTGCACAGCCAGTTGCAAGGCAACCCCTAAAGCAAGCATAACCCAACCACACTTTGCAAGCATACAAGAAATAATACTGTCAACAAGTCTTCAACGATGAATTTGTTTGCAGCAGCCTGCCTGATCGCATGTAGGTTTGGATGTACCAACGTCATGTGTTAAGCAACTACCGTCATCGATTCCAGCCGGTGAGCTCGGTAAGGAGTAATGGGTGAGCCTTATTTGCTTGAAACTTCCTATCAAAAAACTATTAGCCACTGCGAGTCCTTCCTTGGGTCCTCCCTTCAATACAAATGAAGTGTTAGGCCTGGATCTCTGATCATCTCGGGCAACGCCATGCTGTCGTCGGATCAACAGGCAGGAAAATATCCTTCACACCGCCTTACGCTCATTGTCCAAGCGTTCAGAAGACTAGTTTACTTGAGTTATAGATATTCATTCGATTCGATGGACAGTCTTTTCCGCATGTTCTCGCTCTCCCTTTCGGATTTCGAACGCTGTGGGCTGGGGCGAAATTCAAGGATGCAACGCAACGATGAGGGGTTCTGGCAAAACAGAGAATCACAACTTGAAATCCGCGCAAGCTGGGTGAGCAACACAAAACATACTATATAGAATTTGACATTTTAACAGTCGGTCTAGGATTTGTGGATATGCTCAGGAGTTGTTTTTTTTGTCTTTCCCCGCCAGTGACTGACGCTTGGGAACAGCTTCGTCGTCGACACGGTTGGTGTCTTCGACGAATTTCGAAGAATCGCCATTGTATTGCTTGTTTATCCTGGGTACCGGGAACTCTCCTCAATTCTTCTGGTGTCTGCTTTCAAATGGTAATGAGCCACTGTGTGTGCGGGAGTGGCTCAGCTTTCTGACTATATAGTTTATGTAGGTTTCTGCAACCGGCTCCATGGAGGTTAGCTGGCTGCCGAAGGAGAAGCCAGTTACATGGCACCAGACCACATCCCAGTCGTATTTAGACTTGCCTGCCGCACCCCATGGCAAAGATGTGAAAGATGCGACCTCCTGCACGGGGTACAGTCCCTGCATCTCCTCAAGACCCAGGAAGGGACTGCCACTGGTCGCTGCACTTGCTACAGTGTCAGCTGTCATCTTCCTTGCCTATCTGTGCAGTTTGTCAATTCGAGGGAGACTGTCCAAACGATTATTTGTGCGCAAACTCGCCGGAGGCGAGAATGCCAAGGAAAACAATGAGACAGACCCGTGCGTCCCACACAGTGACACGGACATAGACGCTCTTCCAGGTACCCCAGAACAACCTAGCGAGGGTCGTAACCCTAGCGCACATGGGCTCCTTCGTTACCCATCTTGGAGTGGCGAATCGGGGACTGCATATCGTATTCCGGTGTCGCTAATGGGTGCTAGTGCTGCTCCTGTCGAAGGCCTTTACCGTGCAGCAAGACCCCATCTAGGACCAGCTGAAGAGAAGAGGGGTGAAAAGAGAAAGGAAAGAGAAACCGATGGTGTAGGGCGTGGGGCCAAGGTACAGAAATTGGAGGCACCGATTCATCACAGCCTTCTTGGACCATCGGTACCCCACCTAGACCCTGCACTCGATTCACTTATTGATTTCACCTTATCTGAAGGCGCACGTGTATTATACGGGAATATGTGGCTCCTTGATGATGTTGCCTCTCCCTATGTAGTACCCTCAATATTGGAAAGTGAAGATACAACGCCTGCAGAAATGTATGTAGGCCAGCAGAGCCATGGTGCGCCTATGCCAGCATCCACAATCTCGACTCCACTACTACCTGGGAACCTGTCTACTCTGGATAGCAGTGACCCGCCCGCCATGAGTCCGTTGAGCTTTTTCGAGTCGGTGTTGTCAGAAGCCAGCCAGAGCACTCCGGGTCTCTACGCAGATGATTGGTTGTTGAGTGGCGATGCGGAGGTTGTGCGAGAGGCATTGGGCCTGATAGACTCCCGAGCGACACCTTCGATGCTGTTAGGTAGTAGAGGAGAAAGCCAGAAAGGGGCAGGGCCTCGCGCCAAAGTATTGTCTGGCGCTACCGAAAGCCAAATGTATGTGGGGGCACCTTCCTGCTCGAAAATATCAGAACGTGACACTCACTTGGAGACAGTCCAGGTGGGGCATCCGGAGAGACTGAAGAACTGCTGTCCTGCTGCCTAGATCCATCAAACTGCAGTTGCCCGATTGTGGTTTTGTCGTGATGAAGGGTGGGTTCCTGTGTGAACATATGCGTGTTGTGGAATAGGAACCAGCAGACGTATCCTCTGGCATGCCTTCCACGTCTACTGATCCTGAGAGCGGACGGGCAGCAGGCGTTCTGGAATCAACTTCTCTTCGAAGTTTATTGCCACGATCTTCTACTGGGAGCACCCAGTCTTCACCAGGGGAGGACAGTCATGCTGCGCAGCTGGTAGGCTGACCACAAGAAGAGGTGGGATTCTTCCTGTGGCATGACACCTGCCACTAAGGAGCACTTTTGAATCAACCTGAGCTCGTTGCCTCTGTCGCCGGGTATGTGTCCTTTGCTCTTCGTCGAGGTGGTCTGGTGGTCATTTCTGTTTCGCAAGTATAAAGCGTGGAATGGGGCTGCCGGGCGTGCTGTCATTGTGGTGTTGTCCTTGCTTAGGTCCTAGCTTCGCAGGCTCAGGCTGCAGCCGACAACCTCGTTGCTTCACGTGGTTGGCTGAAAAAGATGATGATGGGTGTCTCTGAGCAGCTTCTCAGAACGCATCCGTTTTACCGTCTCCCTGAGGTAGAGCCATTGCTTTCCGGGCGAAGGTTTAACAATCTTAGAGAAGACGAATACCGTCCTAAGGATCAAAAGCTAATCTGGTTGCTTTCGAAATGCAGGAAATTACTGACGAAGGAGCGGTTAACGACCAGCGAATTAGAAGTTCTCCTGGAAAAAACAGAGCAACTGTACAGATACGCAACAGGACCCATGCCTACCTATAAAAACACGAGACCTGCAGTTGAAATTTTGGGGAGGGTATTTATGGTGCTGGATACGCTATATTGTGCACTAGAGGTGCTTGGAAATAACGCTAGGAGGGCTGATTTGTGGCCCGCTGTAGTTCATCACATACAAAACGCAGGGTATCACGGAGACTCCAAGAGACCCGTTTTGGGGAAGACGTATTCGAGCTCCTCCGTAGTCAGTGCTCTGAGAGTTGCAA